GTGGCTGCTTCTGCAACTGGCTCCCTATATTGATGATGCAACTGACTGACGACAGCAGCAGAGAATGGATTCTGAAGTATACAGAAGTATGTTGTCTCCTGATGAAGAATGTTTCCATATTTAGAGGGTGGAACTGCACCATGCATCATGGCCAATGCAATCATGAAGTTCATCTCAAATAAAAAAGTATGACGTAGATTGCCCAAGTCAGCCTTCACATTTAAACCAAATGTTTAAATGTGAACAAGCATTTTACACGCTCAAGAACCTACAGTTTTTCACCCCAGTAAGAGCACCCCAAGAACAGGCAAGAACTCTAAAAGTGTCAGCAGCAGAGCATCAGAAGTGATGGCTGAAGTATTGTGAGCTCAATGGGTCCTAGACCTCAAGTAATCATTGCCTCAGAGGGATATGCAACCAAATACTGACTTACTGTACATTCTGAAATTAAAGTTAATGTGTACCAGTAAAATAAAACCAAAATCACTAGGCTGAATACAATGTACTAAATATGTTTGTTCTAATATGATATTGCATACACATGGATTTAATAAAACATATATCGTAACATTGTGTATCTTTTCTTTTCAGCATGGAATAAACCTTACCTGTAAGACAAAAATGATTTTGACCTGTATTCAGTTCCAGGTCTTCTGGACTAAGATTCTTTTGTTGCAGTCTAGTATAGTATATTGCAAGTGTATCACCTCAACACCTTTGTGCTCAATGCAAAAATAAACAGCACAGGATATGAAGACAAACAAAGTATTTGATGATGATTTTAGCACCAGTGGAACTGGAACAAGGCATGTCTAGGTGAATTATTTTGTCTTCCATTTTTCTGATGTGTGATTTCGCAGAATTCATTTACAGTACTAGTTTGTTGTATGATTTGGTACACAGCAAAAAGAAGCAACAGTTTACATTTTTACATCATTTTGAAATTTGTTTATGTACAGTCCCTAACTCTATCATAGATACTGGCCTTACCAAAAACAGTGTGGATTGTCCATTAAGAGACATTGCTGATAATGCTGACAGATAACAATTGTTATACTAAAAATGTACTGGTAATGACAATGCTCTAAAGCTTTTAATTTGCCTTTAACATCTAATTTTTGACAACTTCGTTGCCAGAAATATTTTATGGACCACTAGTTTCTTGAGCTATCTTTTTGGATACTCACCAGCCACAACACTTTTGTCAGCTATCTCCATATGCATTAAGGAATGTATAAATCCTAATCTCTACTTTACATCTTTCTTTCCATTAGCAAATTTTAAAATCTGAAGGGATTGAATTTTGTGCATATTATGACCTTACATTATGACAAAGGTACAACAAAACCCAATCAAATTCAATTTAGGATCAAAGCAGAACTATAAAAGAAGGGTGAAGTCACGAACATTTTATGATGTCATAAATGAAACGG